AGTTGCATAGCTCTAAACTCCTACAGTGTGGTCTCTGGACTAACCCAGAACCTGAGAAGGGGTTAGAAATGCAAATTACAGGACCCCACCCCAGGCCTACTGAATTAGAAATCTGTGTTTTAACACGTCTTCTAGACAATTCTAACATAAGCTATTGAGAACCACTGTTCTAGTTACAGTCCTTTGCACACTTTCTTTTATTAGCATACTTTTAAAAATTATTTTTAGCACACTTTTCTCTCAAGTGAAGAAATGGAAGAAAGGCCTTTATCTCTGCCCAGGCAGAAGTGCCATCAAAGGTGCAGCTCTGTCTAACAAGCCCAGTCTTTCCAACTGGGCAAGGCCTTGCTTTGTAGCCTTTATTTGCACACTGACTAAAGCTCTTACAATCCCTGTAACACAGACAGAAGTTCCTGCCAACCCTCCCTGTTGAGGAGTAACACCTTAAATAAAGGCGTTCAGCTATTTCATTTTCATAAGCCGGTTTATTGTGTTCAAATGCTTTTGTTCAGGGGAAATATACCTAGTATGACTTCACCCAGGGCAGAATCACAAGACAGCTTTACCTGGAAAAGTCTAAATGGAGCAAAGTTTCTAACATATTCAACAGACCTCCTTTGGAAGAAATAAGCTCAAGAAGAAAAACAAAATTATCATTATACTGGGTAATAGCTTGATAATGATCATTGTTGACAAAATTCTATTGGATCTGCTTATTTAACCCTAAAAATGAACAAGTGAAACATGTTTCAGCTAAAATGAGCAATCAGCAGGATTTTCAGGGATGGTACCAAATTTAATTTTTAGTGCCAAAAATATATACTCAATATTTTCCTGTTACCATTGGTTTGGTTGGTGCTTGAGGCTATACAGTAGTTTACTATGGAGGATGCCAGAGAGAAATGCATGCAGGATTCACATATCCAGCCGGAGAATTCAGGAGACCTGTTTCTCTCTTACTCTCTCTCATCCATCTTTCCTCAATGAAAACTGTGCGAAGTCCAGCACCCAAACACTAGGAAGAGATACAGAGCTAGCAGGAGAGGGATTACGTTTTCACCTGGACATGAATAGACTTTGAAGAAGACTAGAAGTCTTGAAGGACTTAACTCATCCTCCTCCCTCAGAGTAAGCCAATCACCTGCCATGTGATATAGGATGATTTGGTAGGTTGTTCTTTAATATCAACTCATTTGTTATCATAATGGGGCATCTCACTACCTAGGTAAGTTTTTAATTTATTCATCAAATTATTGGTTGTCTTGTGAGAGAATATTTTAGCACATTCTATATTTCAGAGATTATTGGGATACTGGTGGAAAGGATAATTTTTCATTGGTAATCAGTGGGATTGAATTATAAAAGATAACAGAAGATAGAGCCGTCTTCCCAAAGACTAGTCACTAGTTCTATTTACTTAAGAATTCAGAGTCTTTAGGATGGCCCTCAGCACCTCAAGGAATTTATTTACTACTAAGTATCTCCAGAGTTCTCCATTGCCACTGACTCCACCATCACCCAATCATGCCATGCTGGGATTCTTTTTTCCTGTAATGTTATGCGTTGAACTTATTTAAACCAATCTCCAGGTGTGGAGCCTGCCCAAGATAGGGTAATCAGGGCCCTTCTCTGGGGAATTTGGACTCGAGAAAAGCCAGTCTAGAACAGGCTCTTGAGCCAAAGCTGTGTCAACTCAAGAGCTATGGAAAACCTTCAGATGTGAGAAGGTGAGAAACAGGTCTGAGGAAGATAAGAGAAGAGAGAGGTGAGAGGACACTGGGCTCAAAGAGATGAAAAGTCTGCTGTAATGGCCTTCCAGTGGCAAGATCCATTTTCTCATGAGGCCCCATTATGTATACTGCTGGATCTCTTAAGAAGATACTATACCTTTATAACAATTTGCCTGTTTTCCCCCCCTTGAAATCAAACTAGCTATTTAATAGCATTATACCTATACGCCTTGCAACCTATTTTTCTTGCATAGATGAAGCTTCCAGGATATGGTCTCACTCTACAAGAGAACAGTTTTGCTATACATCTTGAAATGGAAGAAAGTCCAGGAAGCATCTGGATTGTTCCAGCTGGGATGGGCCAGGCTATATAATATTGTTATGTATTCATGTTTCTCATTGTCTTTGAGGACCTCATGCTTTGCCTACACTCTCATGTCATTGTCATAGTCTTATGGTGGAGTCTTCTGGACAGCTGTGTAATTTGCTTGGGAACCTAGAGATGGGAAATAGCAGAGCCAGGACTTTGGGTTCAGATCTGCCCAGCCATGCTGCAGAAGGTGCAGAGAAGATTCCACCACGGGTCAGCCTTATCAGAGGGAGCTTGGTTCAAGGTGCCAGTTCAGAAGGGCTCTCAGGGATGACCCTGCTGTGGATTGTGGACAAGAAGATGCATTAGTAATGACAGGTAACCAAGAGAAGGGTAATATCAAGCTCAAATTAGACTGCATGTTATTGAGCATCCATAGTGATTCATTTCATATGAGCAATAGTCTCTAACATTCTATAAGGGGAGTTGTGAAAATGACAAAACAAGGCCTTTTTCTGCAAGCAGTCCTCGGTCTTGGGAGGCGAAGTCTATTCTCCAAGACAAAAAATCTGATGAAGCATATGGCACAGGGACAAAGGACAAAAAGGTGTGGGCAAATTGCTAGCTTCTAATCCCAAAATAACTTATGATCTGGACCTTCTTCTCAGAGAGTGCTGGGAATCTGTAGGCTGCCTGCAAAACCCAGAGCCATTCCTTTCCATTCCACAGCATGGCTCTCTGCCCAATGCCTTTAGAGAAGGGTTACAGGGGCCTTGCCTTCAGAAAGCTAGCTTTCCATGACAAAACCTCTGTAGTTGCCCTTGAGATTTGATTGAAAGGATGATAGGATGATAGGCATTTGATGGTGAATGGTTACCATCATTAGTTATAAAAATGAAGATGATCTTGGCTCAGTACCCATAGCTCAGTGAGTAGGGCGCCAGCCACATACATGAAGCTGGCAGGTTCCAGCCTGGCCTGGGCCAGCTAAACAACAATGACAACTTGAACCAAAAAAAATCTGGGTGTCGTGGCAGACACCCACAGTCCCAGCTACTTGGGAGGCTGAGGCAAGAGAATCGCTTAAGCCCAAGAGTTTGAGGTTGCTGTGAGCCATGATGCCACAGCACTCTACCAAGGGTAACAAAGTAAGACTCTGTCTCAAAAAAAGAAAAAAATGAAAAAAAAAAAAATAAAGATGATCTTCATGTGTCTTAAAGCCTGTCATCACAAAGCCAATTCTTTCTCTCTTCTAACACTTATGTCTTAGTTTCCAGAAATTAGAGTAGACAGAGGTTTTGCAACTCTTCACCCAGCATTCCTAAAACATGTGTTCATATCCAAGCCTCCTTAAACGCAAAGAAATTAGACCACATTTGTGGAGTGTAACAAATATGATCGGTTTGGAGCCACCAGTCTTCCGTGTTCTCCATTTTGTTTTGTTTTGTTTTGAGACAGAGCCTTAAGCTATCCCCCCTGGGTAGAGTGCCATGGCATCACAGCTCACAGCAGCCTCCA